AGTCCGAACTTGCTCGCGCCCGGAGCAGGGCCAGCGCGGTTTGGCTGCTCAGGCCTGCCGCGCGCAGAGTCCGCAGCCGCCCGTAAAGCGCCCCGCGGGCGCCGACGACGCTCGCGACCTCTGGGCTCCCCTCCGCGAGCAGGCTGCCCGCCGCACGGGCCGGCGCCGGCGCCGCAGGGACAGGCCGGAGCGCTCCGTGGCGAAGCACCAGGGCGCGCGGCTCGACTTCCCGCTGCGCCGGGAGCGCGGCCGCCGCCACCTGCCGCCCTGGGCTAACTTTGGTTTTGATCGGGTTGCCGCGGAGGCCCGCGGGCGCACACGCGGCTGCGAAGGCGCTCTCTACCCGCCCCGCCGCCTCCGGGTCGAGACCACCTCGAGGTCATCCTGGTAGCTGTAGCCTCGCGCCGCAGTGCCCTCTACCATTGCCGCGTCCGCGGTTGCACGCGCAACGTGCTTGTAGGTCAGCGGGAACAGCACGTTGGTGAGTGCGTCGCCCTGATCGTCCCCGCGCTCCTTGGGGAGCGGTGTGTGGGTGCCGTCGCGCGCTATACGTGCGCGTGCTCTGTCGCGGTGCCGAGCCCGACCCGCACCCATGGCAGCAGATCCGGCACGAGTTCCTGGACCGCCTGCGCGGCGACGGCCCTGTCGTACTCGCTGTGGGCGTTGCTGCCGTCCAGGCTCAGCTTGCAGCAGGCCAGGCGGCTATCGAGGTCAAGCAGCACCGCCTTGTGCATGACCTCCGCGCCTCTTGCGTTGCCCACAGAGTACTCGGCCTCCCCCAGGGCTCCGGCGACCCGACCCCGAAAGATGCGGGCCACTGCCTTGGACGACAGGCGGCGGTGGAGGATCCCTATAGGGCCAAGGGCCGGACCTTGTCGTCTTCTGGTCGGTCCCCCGCCAGGATCCGGGCACTCTGCCACGCCTTCAAAGCCTCGGCTGGGGCAGTGCCGAGCTGGAGCCGCAGGATGACTTGCGTGAATTCCTCCCACTGGGCCCCGTGCTGCGGCATCCATGCCCAGTGCTCCCCCCGCGAGCCCCCTGGGCCGGCCCCGCGGTTGCGCGGTGCGTGGGCGTACGCCTTCCCCAACTCAGCGACAAAGTGGTCGACGTCGTCGCTGAGAGACTGCGTCTGCGGGACGTGCGGCTGCGCGGTCGCGCGGGGGAAGAGGCGGGGGAGGCAGTCTCGCGCCTTCCTGTCCGGTGCAAGCTGGATCTTGGCGCCCACCACCCCCATCGCCTCGCGGACGTCCTCGTCGGCAAGTGCCTCCTCGATCGCCTGGACATCCCTGGCCAACTGCTGCGCCTCGGAGCGTGCCTGGGGCTCCCCGCGCGGCTGCCCAGCGGCCGTCTCCTGCCACAGGAGGTCCCAAGAACCTTCCCAGGCCAAACGCACCCTCTGGACAAGCGTCCGCGCCAGCGTCTCTCCCCTCTGCCCGCGCGCACCGCCACGCCGCTTCCGCACCGAGGCAAAGAGCAGCCGGTCGGACAGCAGCAGGGCTTTCAAGGCTCGTTCCTCCTCCGCCGCGCCGCCCGCCCCCTGCGCCGCCACACTCAGCGCAGCCCAGAGTTCGGCCACTGCGTGACGGACCGCTCCTGGGACCACCTTGACCGCGCTCGCGGGGTCGTGGATGCTGCCCCACGGGGCGGCGTCCCAGAACTCCATGCGGCGTAAGACGCCTGGCTCCGCAGCAACCTCCCGCGGCTGCGGCGGCGGCGGCCCACGGGGCCCAGTTCCGTCGCGTCGTCGTGTGCTCCGTGGGCGCGTGCGGCGTCGAACGCGAGCTGCGCCTCAGAGCGTTTCTCCTCCGTGAGGCGCTCCCAGCCCTCTAGTCGATCGCCACGCACCCGATGTGGTGCACCCGAGCGCCGGGACCACCCCTCCTCATCCGGGGCGTCTGGTACCTCGCCCATGCACGTTGCGCACATGGCGAGGCTCCTTCAGGTCGGAGCCGACAGCACCCAGGCCTCTCCTCCCTCCTGTCGCTGCGCTGCGCTGGCTCGCCCCTCAGCCGCGGCTGCCGCGGCCTCTGGAAGGCGTTGCCGCCGGCGCCCGCGCCGCGCTGGTTCCCCCTCCATCGGCCCCCCCTCCGTCGGCGGTTCGCCAAGCTCGACGTCGTCGTCTTCTCCCTCCTCCATCGTGGGGGGAGGTGGGAGACGGGCTGGGTAGCCTCCCCCTCCCCCCCAAGCAGTGGCGCGGGGAGGCGGGCTGGTCAGCCTCCCCGCAGGCTGCGGCCACGCCGATGGCCCGGCGCGCGGCCACGGCAGAGGGCTGGGGGCCCGACCGCGCCCGAGCCTCCTCCTCCTCCTCCTCCTCCTCCTCCTCCTCCTCCTCCTCCTCCTCCTCCTCCTCCTCCTCCTCCTGGTACCTCTCCCTCCCCCCGTTTCCTCCCCCCTTTTTGTTCGCCCATCCGTTCCGCCCCGAACGCCCTGGAACCTCGCAGGCCAGTGCGGAAGTGTATGTCTGACCCCGCTCCCCATTCTTCCTCGACTCCCTCCCCTTTCCCCCCTCTCTTCCCCAACCTCGTCCTCCTCCCGTTCCTCCTCTACCTTTCCCTCTTGTCGCCTCATCCATCCCCGCCTCTACCTCCCCCCCTTGTCGCCATCCTCCCTACCTTGTCCCCTTTTCGAGTTCTAGGGGGGCCCGAAAACGCGCAGGTCGCACTGCACCTCCTGCGCCAGTGCGGCTCCTTCTGCAAACTGGGCTACTCCGCGCGCGTGATGCCGCCCACTGCGCACACCGCCTCCTTTGTTAGCCATGGAAGACGCTGTCCGGGCCTGCCTTGAGCAACTCAGCGGCTGCTCGCCCCCCGACGCCTCCTGTGGCGGCAGGCTCAACTCAAGCTCAGCAAGGGAGGACTTGGCCTGCGCTGCAGCCGACGCCTTCATCGCTTCCAGAGCGAAGGGCGCCGACTTCTGTCGGCAGCTTTACCCTGGCTACTCACACAGCGCTGATCGCGACGGGGGTAGCCTGGCGGCTGCGGTGCAGGCCCACAACGCAGTCGTGCGGGATCCGTCGACGCCGACCAGGTAGTGTTCGACCACGCGCAGCATGGCAACCAGAAGGCCCTTTCCGACGCGGTGGACACAACCGCGCTCAACGGGCTCCTGGCGAGCGCCACCCTGGCCGGCAGGGCGCGCCTCTCCTTGGTGCAGGCCCCAGTCGCTGACGCGTGGCTCGGGGAGCCGCCCTTCGAGGCCACCAGCACCGTGGGCTTGCAGAGGCGGTTGCGAGTCCAGCTCCTGCAGGAGGAGTGCTTCTGCCCAGCATGTGGCGAAGTGCTGGACGTTTTCTGCGACACGCCCTTGTCTACGCCTGCCGCGGCGACTGGGCCAAACGCCACAACGCCCCGCGCAACCAGGCCCTCTTCGACGCCCTGGCCGCGAGCCACGCCGGGGCGGAGTTGGAGCGCCCGGGGCTGTTGCCCCCGCGCCCCGCCGGGGAGGCCACCCTCGGGGGAGAGCAAGGCGGGCCCCAGGTGGACGACGACGGCCGCCGCCCTGCCGACGCCTACCTGCCGCGGTGGCGAAACTGCAGCACGGCGGCCGCCTGGGACTTTGCCGCTGCGTCAGTATTGCGCGCCGATCCGCGCCGGCCACTTCGTCAAGCCCGGCGACGGGGCACGAAGAGTTCAAAAGGCAGCACAAAGACACCGCGCGGCTGTGCGCGCCGCAGATTTTCACCTTCATCCCCATGGCGGTTGAAGCCCACGGCGGCGGGCGGGGCCGCGAGGCACGCAGGGCTTTCGGTGTCCTGGCCAAGTGGGTGGCTGACGCCACGGGGGAAGGCACCGCACTGGTTGCGGACCGACGCGCCCGGCGACTTTCCGTCGCCCTGTTCGAATAGGGAGAACGCGCGGGCGGTGTTGCGACGCCCCCAGACGCAGTCTGCAGGGGCGGGAGGGCAGCGGCCCGCCTGGCCGCGGCCGCGGCTGCCTCCACGGCGGACGCCGTGTGAGGTGCCCCCGGCACTGCGTAGCGCCCCCCGTCCACCCCCCCGCCCTTGCTGGGCAGCGCGGGCGCCCCCCGCGCCCTCTCGCCAGCGCCGTGCCGGCGATCCCTCGCGCGAGCCGCCCGGCCCTTCCTCGGCGGGGCGGCGGATGGATCCCGCAGGGGGCAATCCCCACCTAGCCGCATCGTGCTGGGCTCGGTCGGCCACCCCGCCCAGGTCGCCGCCGTAGGGTCCGTGGCCTCGTCGCGGGTGGCTCTTCTCTCCCGGCCCCTGGCCCGGCCTGTCTGCTTGTGGTTGCTTCCCCTCCCCTCCTTGTCATCCTCCTCGCTTCCCTTCTGCTCGTTGCTTCCCTCCCTTTCCTTTCCTCCTTCCCTTACCTGCTGAATAAGCCTGGCCCCTCTTCTGCCTGCCCGCCCGCTCCGCCGGCCCTGGCCTCCCGCCCAGGCGTTCGTCGTCGTCTGCCTGCTTCTCCCCTCCTCGCCCCCTTCCGCCAGGCAGCGCAGCCTGCCCAGGACCAGCGTGGGTTTCGGACGTGACACCCAAGACGCAAGTGACAGATGGACCACGAGGGCCAAGAGTCGCTGACTGATCTGGCCCCTTCCTCCCTGTTCCTGTTCGTTCGTCCCTTGTTACTTCTCATCTGCATCGTCGTCCTTCCAGTCTTCAGTCCTTTTGACCTCTAACCGTCTCGACCTACTCCTGCTTTTCAGCCTCCTCCTTCTCCTGCCGCGCATCCTCCCATCCCTCCTCTCCACTTTTTCCCTCCACCCCTCCTCCTCCTACTCCTGTCCTCCCCCCCCAGATCCTTATCCTCCCTGTCTTCCTCCGCTCCTAGATGTCGTGCTCCTCCGATCCTCCTCCTTCTCCTCCTCCTCGTTCCCTTCCTCCTCCTCCTCCTCCTCCTCCTCCTCCTCCTCCTCCTCCTCTTCCTCCTCCTCCTCCTCCTCCTCCTCCTCCTCCTCCTCCTCGTGCCCCTTTCCCCCCCGCCCCTGCTATCCTCTCCTCCCTTCCCCCTTCCATTTTCCCCCCCACACCCACCCCTTCGGCGCAGGCCGGCAAAGAGGTGTACGTTTTCTCCCTGGCGTCCGCGGGCGGGCCCGAGGACCAGTATCGGGTGGCGTTGCAGGCGCTCCGGTTCGTCGCCATCGTCGTCCTCGTCGTTGTCGTCCTCGTCGTTGTCGTCAGTGTCGGCGTCGTCGCTTCGTCGTCGCAGTCGTCGCAGTCGCCTTTGTCGTAGTCGTCGCAGTCGTCGTCGTCGTCGTCGTCGTCGTCGTCGTCGTCGTCGTCGTCGTCGTCGTCGTCGTCGTCGTCGTCGTCGTCGTCGTCGTCGTCGTCGTTTTCGTCGTCTTCGTCGTCGTCGTCGTCGTCGTCGTCGTCATCGTCGTCGTCGTCGGCATCGTCGTCGTCGTCGTCATCGTCGTCGTCGTCGGCATCGTCGTCGTCATCGTCGTCGTCCCCATCGTGGTCCTTGTAGTCCGCGTGGACATTCTTCTTTTTATTTTCATCATACGAGGCCCCTCCACTTCGTTCGCCCTCCCACATTCCCCCTTCTTCCTTCTCCTCCTCGTCCTACGCCTCCCGTTTCCCGTCCTCGTTTTCGTCGCTGGCGCCCTCCCTTCTCCCCCCCATGGGGTCCGACGTTGCACAGACTTTGCAGCATGGCGAAAAATCACGCCCAGAGCCGTGTTTCGAGCCGGGCCGATCTGCGAGGGCTCCAGGGCCCGAAGCCTGGCGAGCGTTTCGAGCCCGCGGGCGCCGAGTGGTCCAAGGCAGGCAGACGAAGCTGAGCGATCACGCCCGGGGTTACAAAAATTGAACAAACCCCGTCTCAGGTACTTGCCCCTCCCCCGCTCCTCGTTCTCGCCGCCGACGACCTCATCTCGGCAACTTGGATCCGTCGCGCGATGCGAATCTGAGGAGGAGGGGAGGAGGAGGAGGAGGAGGAGGAGGAGGAGGAGGAGGAGGAGGAGGAGGAGGAGGAGGAGGAGGAGGAGGAGGAGGAGGAGGAGGACGAGGGGGAGGAGGACGAGGGGGAGGAGGAATCTGCACCTGTCCGCGGCAGACATTGGTTTGCTCATTCCGCCTGCGTTTGCGCTGTTGTATTTGTTGTCTCGAGGAGCGCAACACGTCTGTCCTTAATGTCCGCCCCGCAAAAGAGGAGGAGAAGGAGCAGGAGCAGGAGGAGGAGGAGGAGGAGGGAACTTCGCAACACGTGGCGGAATTCATTTGCATAGCATCCTCTCTCCTACGCCACGCCCTTGCACCCCTCGATCGAGGGCAGGGCAGGCGACGACGCGACTCCTGGCGGTGCCTGCCGCTGCCTCCTCCCCTCCTGGTTTAGCCCGTCCTAGCTCTGCTGGGCGACGCCCCTCCTTATCCTCTTCCTCCTCCTCCTCCTCCTCCACCTCCTCCGCCTCATGCTCCTCCTCCTCCGCCTCCTCCACCACCTCCTCCGCCTCATGCTCCTCAACCTCCTCCTCCTCCTCCTCCTGCTCCTCATCCTCCTCCTCCTGCTCCTGCTCCTTATCCTCCTCCTCCTCCTTCTCCTCCTCCTTCTCCTCCTCCTCCTCCATATCCTCCTCATCCTCCTCATGCCTCCTCCTCCTCCTCCTCCTGGCTTTTATCCTCTTTATCCTCCTGCTCCTTCCTTGTCCTTTTCCTGCCAGAGCCGCCACCGGCTCCACGCAGGAGCATGAACCGCGAGACTGGATGAAGGCAGGCTTCTACATTAGATAGTGCCCCAACGTGTGTTCGCCCAATCAGTAGACCATTCCATCGCCTGGGTCGTGTCGAAGGGCCTCGATGGACAAACACACGTGGGGGCTAACACACGTTCTGAGGATCATCGAGCCTTGGACACATCATGGACAAGAAGGAGACTGGTCAGGTGGTCGTGGATCAAGTGGTTGCACGACTCAGCGCAACTACTACCAGCTCCAGTGGAACACCTGGACCCACTACGATGCACTTGATGGAAATAAGTACGTGCACAATGACACCCGAAAGATGGCAGCCCTGGTCTGCTGCAGAATACGATTGATCTTACAATCGTAATCGTGCGAGGTGAAGGAAAAGCTGCTGGCAGCGATTCAGTCGGAGCTGCCCTACATGCCCAACAAAGACAGGACAAATACAAAGTGCCTGTACGTGAACTTATACATTCACTTGTGTTTCCAGGGCTGTTGTTTGTGGGATGCGTCTGTCCGTTTCGGTTTTCCCCCATAAGGAGATATGACGGCTGTATCGGCCCCCCTCTTCGTGGCGTTGTTAAAGGTGTTGGGGGTTGGCGCTACGAGGGGGCCAAAGTGCCTCGGGGGGGCCAGGAACCCGTGGATCTCCTGGGGGTCGGCTAAGACGTTGGGCCCACACGCCCCGCCGCGGGGGGGGGCGTTACTCTTCTCTTTCTGCTCGCTCCCTGCCGCCGCCGCCGCAGCTGCGTAGGCACCAGAGACGAGGATCGCCGAGCGCGGCCACTGCGGGCCCATCAGCGCGAGAGTTGAAAGATTGTGGACTGTCGTCGGGGTCGTCGTCGCCCCTCCTCCTCTCTTCATTCGTTCTCTGGTATATTCTACCTCACCTATTACCGGACCAAAGAAGCCGCATTCCTCTGGCTCCTGCTTCAAGAGTCGAGTGGTTGTCCGCATTCCCTCCCCTTCCGCGGGCGGGCGAAAGCCAAATCTACCTCCAATGCCTTCCGAATTCGTGTTTCTATCCGCTTGCAGCCTCCTGAGCCCCGATGGGTCTAAAAAAAACAAAAAACAATAACACAAAAAAAAAAACAAAAAAAATCGTGTTTCTATCCGCTTCTTCCGACCGACGGGTAGCGCGTCGCCGAGCCCCCGCCGCGACACGCCGAGCACAGGTTCCCGACCGTACTGGCATCGGTGCCTCTTCCTCCTCCGATTCGTTGCCGTCGCCCGCGTCGTCGAGCCGCGGCGAGGTCCGCGGCGCCGATGCCGTTGGCGGGGGCGCCGACGCGACGGCGTCCCCGTGGCACCCGGCGGGCGTGGAGGCGGTCGCGGCCGGGCTCGAAAAACTCGAGAAGGGCCCGCGGCTCAGCCGCAGCGCTCGCGTAGGATATCGACTGCAACACCGATTTGCCACAACATTGGATGTTCGTCGAACCTACAAAGAATACGTAGGATTTGCGTAAACCTGTGAAAGTGGTGCGTACGTTTTACAGATTCGACAACACCCTGATTTTTGGGGTGCAAATCAATTCTGGGGTCGATTTCCTCTTCGGATGTTCTCAGCGGTTTTCGGGCCTCGAGGTGGTTTCCAGCAGCTGCGCCTCGTCGAGAGCGATCCAGGGGCGCACGGACCGTCCTGAGCGGCCGCAGGAGACCCGAATTCGAGCAGGAGGCCGATTGTTTGATTGATTTACAATCGAGTTGATTATTCAGTCAAGCCCACGAGACACAGGTGAAATGTTCGTAGATCAACGACCATTATACGTACGTGTTGCCCGTGGGCTCGACGGAAAACACAGTTTGGGATCATTCAGTGTTGTTGTCGATCCCTCTGTTCGTAGGTTTTTTATGCGTTCGGGCCTCGAGGTGGTTTCCATCAGCTGCGCCTCGTCGAGAGCCAACGGGGGTGAACGGACCGTCTTGAGCGGCCGCTGGAGACCTGAGTTCGAGTACGACAGCGACTACAACATTGATTTACCCCAGAGTTGATTTTCCACTCGAATTCTCAAAACAGCACGTAGCACGTCCGTATATATACTGACATTATACGCATCGTTCGTGGGGTCGTCGGACAAATCCATTTGGGGTAAATAAATGGATGTGTCGATCCCCCACTCGATTTGTAGGTTCTCGGCGGTTTCGGGCCTCGAGGTGGTTTCTATCAGTTGCGCGCCTCGTCGAGAGTGCTCCGGGGGGGCCCGGATCGTCCGAGCTGCTGCAGGAGGCCCGAAAGCCTGACAACGAGGATCGATCACCAGAGGGGACCGGCTCACAGGAGGAAGCGTTGACCTCTTAAGGCTTCGGGTTACGCACCAGCCCTCAAGGTAGTCTTGGCTGGCCTGAACAGGTCCCTCGAGCAGTCCCAGCTGGCTTCAAAACTCAAAAGGCCACCCGAGTAGCCCAGGGCGGCTTCAACACCTCAACCCTGGGGCGCGGAGGCGGCGCCAGGGTGCGCGTTGAGGCCAGCTGAGGCTACCTGGGTGGGCCCGTTGGGGCCAGCTTGGACTACCTGGGGGGGCTGGCTGTGCGCAGCCCGAAACCGTGCCAGGGGGGCCTGCCGCTGCTGGCTGCCATTTTCCGCCGCGGCTGCGGCTGAAGCTGTTGCTGGTGATGGCGCTGCTGCTCGAAGAGCGAAAATCGGCATAAGCATGAGTTCTCGAAGGTCCGCGCGGACGGATTTCTTGGATCGGCGTCCCCCTGGCGGCGCCTCTGGCGCCGATCCAAGGGCGCTCCAAGCGCCAGGGAGGGGGGTCCAGCATCGATCCAAGAAGTTCGCGTAGACCTCCGAGAGTTCTGTTCATGCATTTGTGTTGGTTCACAGGCTACTGCTGCGTTCTTTACGGCTACTCCTGCCTTCTACCAGCTTGCCGCTCTCTGGCATGTCAGGAGTGTTCTATCTACCGGCCGTGCGCCCATCCCGCCACCGTGCCTTCAAGGCATCTTGGGGTATATCTGGAGGCCTCTCGGGGCCTCTTGGGAGCCCCTGGTGTTCCTCTTCGGACGGAGGAAAGACTCGGCCAAGCGAAACTCGGCCAGCCGAACTCGGCCCAGTCGAACTCGGCCAATCGAAACCCAGCCCAGGGCCGAGCTTCGCCTGGCCGAGGTCAGTGTAGGCCGAGCTTCTCCGGCCGAGTTCCTCCAGCAGAGTTTTTCCCGCGAGCTTCTCCGCTGCGAGTTCGCCCGGCCGAGTCTGGAGCAGACCCCCGGCTACATCGGAGCGCCGGCCGAGCTCGGCGGGCCGAGCCCGGCGCGGGCCGCGCTCGGCCAGGCCTGCCGCTTTCTCCCTGGCCGAGTTCCTGCCGCCGAGTCGTTCCCGGTCCGAGTTTTGTCCGGCCGAGTCTTCTCCCGAGCCGAGGTTGTCCGGCCGAGCTTCTTGGGCCGAGCTCGGCCGGCCGAGTGCCGCCTGGCGCAGCTTATCTGGAGTCGTCCTCGGGAGCCGCAGCGGGCGCCTCGCGCGCGCACGGCCCCCGGGAGGCGAGCCCGCGCGAGGCACACGGGGCAGGCGAGGCCCTGTCGAAACAGGCGCAGCCTGCACGGGCAGCCCGGAGCGCCAGTGCCACCCTTCGAGTGGCCTGTGTCTCAGCATTGCTGCGCGCAGGTCCACCACGAGAGGGTCGAGCTGGGAAAGCCACCACGAGAGACGATTGGAGATTAGCCGAGACGAGAAAAGCAGAGCCGAGGAATGAAACACCACCGAAGCCAACAGCGGAATGAACGAAGGCGAACAGCGAAACAATGCTCAAACGTGTGGGGCGACACCATATGATGTAGTCACTGGCAGTTCTTGCCCTAGTGTAGACATCCCGAGTGGGAAACAACAAGTAAGTTGGGTCAGCGCAGACGAGCAGATTGCTTGAATGAAACAATTCTGAATTCATGTAACTAGTTGTTCGGAACCGATGTATCGCAGATTCACCGCATCCTTTTTAACCCTGCTGACTCCTTGTCTCCTTCGGGATGACTGCCCTCGGACAAGAAATTTGCTTGACAAGAAAGCGTTGTGTAGTCACACGATTGTTTGCCGCCCTAAATCGAACTTCTGCCCCTAAAACGAAGCCCGCTTAAGACAAAGAGTAAGCTGGGCCAGCGCAGACACAAAAGTGGCGCGACTACAAGCAGGTTGGAAGTCACCCAACCCCTCCCCCTCCTCTCCCGCATCCCCCCCTCTCGTCCTTCCACGCCCCCGCGATCCCCCCCAGGCACCGGATCTGGCCCCCGCCCCTCGGCCGATGCTTTCTGACAGCATTGTCGCGCCTATTCAACCACGCCGGGGAAGAAAAGGCGTATCTGAGCATTGCCTGTGTTCCCCATCCCCTTGTCCAACATCCAGTGAGACAAGGGCGAGGAGGAGGGTAGGGGGACCGAATCCCCCAACAAATCTCCCGGGCCCTTATAGCCTCAAACTCAATTCTCCGTGGCCGCCAAGATGCCCAAGATGCTCATCGTGGCCGAGTCCAGTCGAGTTTTTCCCGTCCGAGTTTCTCTGGCCGAGATCAGTGCTGCCGAGCTTCTCCGGCCTAGTATTTCCTGGGCCGAGTTTCACCGGTCGAGTTTCACCGACCGAATTTCTCCAGAAGAGGTTCACGCTTCAGCTGGAGCGCCAGCCGAGCGCAAAAGGTCAGAATTTTGTTCCCAGCTGGCCGAGTCCAGCTGGGCCGAGTTCAGCCGGGCCGAGTTTTTCGGGCAGACTTTTCTCTGGGCCGAGTTTAGATTGGCCGAGTTCAGCCAGCCGAGCTCAGAGTGGCCGAGTTCAGCTGGGCCGAGTCCAGAAGGCCGAGTTGTTCCTGGCCGAGCTTGCTGCCTGTTGGGGCCTCTCGGGGGCCTCTGCCTCTTTGGGGCATGCAGGCTGTCTGTCTCGAGGGCCATCTCGGGGGGAAGTGCTCGAACTACCAGTTCGGGTTCCCCCTCGTGGGCACCTCTCGGGGCCGTCCTGGGCCCACTTGGGAGCCGCTGGGGACGTCTTGGGGCGATCTCGGTAGCGCCTTGGGCTGTCTTGGCGCTCTTGAGACCGAAACGTCGAGCATGCGAAATTAGTACAACTGCTAAGGCTGATTCAGCGATAGGAGAGGCCTTACGGCCGGTACCGCCGACCCTGAACGACGACGACGACAATGAGGACGACGACGACGACCGCGACGACGATGACGATGACGATGACGACGACGATGACGACGACTTTTTGCTAGAAGCAGCTGCAAGGCTGGGCTGCAACCCACGAGGAGCGACGACCAACCTGCAGGGTGAGGGACCTCAAAGTGGGTCGAGAACAGGCCGCTGGCCCCACTGCTTCGTTCCACGACGGGGGGGCAGCAGCTTACGCACTCTCACTATGGCAGTATACTGGGCCTCGGTGAGCGAAAACCGTCCGAAGCGAACGCACTCACACTCGAGGGTCAAGAACTTCGGGGTACCCTCAGCGCACCTCCCACAGGACCCGCAAAAGACAAAACTGCCCTTCCGCCAGAGAACATGAGAGCTGTGCAGGACATGGCCCCTCCACCCCAGGCCCTCGAGAAGCACAGGGGGATCAGGCCAGCCTTTAAACCTAAAGTACTGCTCATCAAACGGCGGCAAGGGTTCAAACCCTCGAGGCAGGCGAACCGCCACGCGAGCAGGCAAAACAGGTGAGGAGGCAGGGGTGCTCGAAAGGGCCGAACACGAGGACCGCAAGCGCGAGAGGGCACTCTGCTGGGTCCTGAAAACGATCTTCCCACATCTGGAGCAGCACCAGCCCCTTGGGAGATCGCACCAGGCATGGTTGGAAGCTCGCTTCGCCTGACACTCCGCGGCCTCTCTCTTCTGAACCCGCGAAAGGCGGGGGGGGGGCTTGACCAGCCTCTCTGTATCCCTGGGAGCGGCGGCAGCGGCGATGGCAAGAGACGCATGACGGAGAAGGGTAGACTCGGCCCGCCTCGAGGAAGCCGAGGGCGCGTCTGGCGGTGGCCACTGGAACCTGCGCGCGGGAGGCGTGCTCCTCGGCCAGGCCGTCCGCCACCGCGTTCAGGTAAGTACCTCCTGCCTGGGCGGACGCCCCAAAACGGGCACGCGCCGCCTCGTCCTCGTCCACGCGGGAGGGGACATGCATGGACGAGGCAGGGCCGGCCCGTGCGTCGATCTGCGAGGCCCCGACGTTCGCACCACGGGTCAGCATCCTCGAGCTTCACCCAGCGGTGGCGCCCACGCGCGTACGCACGCACACGACTGGCATGCTCCGAGGGGACGGTGACACCATCCTCCTCCTCCTCGCTTGCCCCCGGCGCGGCGCGGATACATTTTCTCAATGAGTTTGTATCGTTATAAGTGCCCGAAGTTCCGTTTCGTTCCTCTGTTTCGGCGCAGCCGGCGTTAAAACTGTT